TTAAGTGGCATGCATTTTGGTCTCAGCCCCATGCTGGTGTGTTTCTTTTTTTTTTTTACAGATAATGGCTTCACCATTTTGAAACTGCTTGTCTAAAAATTTCAGGCTTTCTCATTCTTGTGTAAGAACTCACAATTCCCAAATAGGCAGAACTGTTAAAAGATCTAGCCAAAAGATTAATCTATCGCAATCTGATAACTTAGCTTTGAAAGCATATCAGAAGTTACATACTTGGCATCAGATTCTGAAAATGAACTACTAAAAACATGCAGTGACCTCTTTAATAAAAAGTCCTCACTGCTTTCATGTACTGATTCATCTAGGCACTGGTAGGGTTTTGGCTGTAGGCAGAACTGTGTTCCTAGCGCGGATCTCAAAGGATATCTATTTTCAGTATCAGCAATAGGGCAGAATCCACTTAATGTGATCACCTGTATACAGAGGTTTGAAGACCTATTTTTTTTTTTTAAAAAAGGAGAATTGAGGATTGCTTCCCACCTCCAAGACTGCTGTATTTTGAGCTTGGGCAACACATCTGATCTTCCAGACAGCAACTACTTTCTGCTGTAACCAGTATTGACTCTGAGTGGCATAAGCAAATTTGTTGCAAAGCATGTCCCATTGATATATCAGAAGCTCCCAGATTTATTTGACGATATCAACTCTGCCACCTAGACCTCATTTTAGATTTTGGTGTGTATCCTACTTAAAGTGGTGGTCCCATTCTTAAAGTCTATCATAAAACAGATTTATGCATGTACTTTGTATTCCATTTAAATAATCATATAGATAATTCCTCTTATAAAATTACTTTATCAGCAAGGCATTTGGTCTGATAATATAATTCTAACCTTCAATAGAAGAGCTTCTATTTCTACCCAATAATCATGAATAAGGAAATGAATTAGACTCTTAAAACCCAAAGGACTTAAATGCCATTAGTACTTCAACAATCACCAATAAATTCAGGAAATGCAAAGTAAAGCGCTAACTGCAAATGCAGGTTTTATGATTTTCTTCAAAATCATAACAGAGATGTCAATGTCCTGTGCAAATTGTTCTTTTAAATGTCTTGCTGGTTGCTGGTTACTGCCACATTCCTTACCATGACTCAATATTACTTTATTTGTATCACTCATTTCAGACAGGATTATTTATCAGATTGTAATTTTGGCAAGGTATATTCAAAATGTATCTCCAAACCTGATGGTGTGGAGTAACTCACTTGTCTAACAGATCACATTTAACAACCATAAAGATGACTAAGCACTACCTTTAACAATTGTGTTCTAATACGCATACTTGCTCAGGTACTATAAACACGTGGTTGTTCCTTTATTATTCAGTGCGTTGCTCATGTTGAAATCCTGAGTTCCACCAGGAATATTGATGGGCAGCAGAACGGCTGGGCTTCCCTTCAGGTCCCTCTGATTTTTCATCACAGGAGTTGTATGAATGGTAAATTCCCAACATCACAGCAAAAATTATTATCGCAGCCACTACAAGCCATACCACATTCCAGTGTTTACACAGTTTGGGGTACAGTATATGTAAATAATTAATGATGACTTCAAGTCTGCTGCAAAGTTAAAAGAAAACTGTTACATATTAATCATATGCAAATTTATTATCTTAAGTGTTTCAATTTGAGAAGTGTCACAGATGTATGATGCACCATCTTTCTTGCAAATACAAACACCTTGTAAAAGAAGAATCAGACTGTTAAGTTCTTTTAAGAAGAGCTGTACACTCAGATATGGGTGATATTTGCAAGACAGCTGAAGACCGTAAACTTGACTTCTATTTCTCCCACCTGTGAACTGACAAATCTCAGAGCCTGATATGATTTAAAATGCTGCACTGTTCATAGCTTGCTCAACTAAACTAAACATTAGAGCATGTTGTAAACATTTCTTCTTAAGAGCTTCATGACTAGTGAGATGGCTGTCCTTCTGAACATGGCTGAAATCTCAAATTAATAGATGTTTACAACCATAATGGTTATGGAATGGGAATGAATTCTTCTGGATCAGGTAAGGATTCCTGCTTTAGCTTGGTATTGGATGTATTACTTACTTTGGCCAGCATTCAATTCCTCTCTAATGCAAAAGTCTCTTTACTTTTAAAATGCAGGAAGTGGTAGGTATATCGAATGGGGTGGTAGAATCATCAAGGAAACTCAATAATTAACTTGAAGAAAAGTTGAAAATTTCAGAAAAGTTTTCCAGTTAGGCATCAAATGCTTCAGGTGAGACAATATGCAGAAGATTCAAAAGCCCCCAGTATAGATGAAAAGCATTAGGTACAGATGAATGCAATAAACATGTCACTCTGCTGATAGGCGGGAACTCCAGCATAGTGCTGTTCTGCTGCATCTACTCAGCTTCCAGAAGGAGCAGGGACCTGCTGGTCCAAGTCAGAGCTAGTCCAACATAGCTGAGGAGCTTGTCTTAATCTGCATTCATCTTGTGGATGTACTGAAAGACTCACCTGTGAAGACCCTTTGGGAATGACATATGGCACAAACACGGGCATCAGATTCCTGAATTACAACTTTCATGAGACAATGCATGCCTACTGAGAGATCTATTTCTGGCATCTAAAGAACTTCTGCAAAGTATTTTTTACCTCAAATCAAAACCAAACTCCATCAAGATGAAGCATCTTGATGTCAACATACAGTTTTGGTTGAAATATCAAAATAGAAAGTTTTGCATTTTGCAACTATGTTATCTTGGAATATGCCTGTCTGTGAAAATATTGTTATTTCAAATATGTGTCCCTAGACTGGAAGAAAACATGTCAAGATAATATTATAATCCACTTAGTTGGGTACCACAAACCGATAAAAGTCGCTCCTCTTGCCTGGACATATTACACCATTGTCTCACCTGCTTTTCAGGTTTTTTACCTCATCTTCATTTTCACTTTCTTCATGTTCATCATGACTTTCTTTTGGTGTCTCTTCATCTTCTTCCTTCAGTTCCTGAAGTTCTTTGGTTTTCTTCAAGCCTTCCTGATAGCTATAACACAAAAACCATTTTTCTTAGTTTGGCACATTGTATAAGCCTGTTCCTATGTAATGAAAAATTAGCTTTATGCTTTGTTACATGCAATAAAACTCAAGTAGCAGTGTTGCAGCAATAAAGACCACGAGTATGGCACACAGCCAGCCACCCTTCCTTAAGAGAGGATTATATAAGCTCTGTTATCAAATTCATCATCTTGAAAAAGAGGTTATAGTCCTCAGCAGAGCACAACTTTTGTCTGTTGTAAAGAAGTTGGTAAGTATTTCTCTATTATTTTTCAGTCATTTTGAACACATCCTCTAGATTTTTTTTTTTCCTGGAGCGTAAGTACAAATCAATGCAAAAGATAGATGGCTTGTTGCATTGTGCAGGATCAAAATTTTTGCCTCTCTTCACACAGTACAAAGTTTTTTGCTTGACACTCAGAAATTGATACCAAAGCTGTTAATTGCCCCAATACATGTTGTGTGAAGCACTTTGTGACACAAACAACATGAGTTTACTGCACAAGTTGATACCAATTCTTTACTTATTTCTATGTACACTTTTCAGAAAAAACATTGTAGAAACTTGTTTTGGAGTATCCTGTCATGAAGCTGAACACTACTGACATAATAACACCCACCCAAATCAGAATCTCTAATATTACTGCTCTTCCACAGTTTGGCTAACATTAATAAAGGATGAAAGTGAACAGCTATGATGCAAATACAGTAAGTGAAGCTCACTCACATTGTTTCCCACATTGCTTCAGTTATGATCATCTAGGAGCTCATATCAATTATGTCACTCATTTTGCATTTAAAGTTACATTATAAAAACATATGTCCTCATCTGGTAGCACGTATTTACAGACGTAGTTCACGTAAAGTATTCCCACCCTTTGTTATATGCTTCCTCCTCTATCTTGGCTTTAGTTTCAGGATTGATTTCTTCCAGCCCACTTTGTGTCAGCACGGAAGTAGGGGTTTCACAGTCAGGCTCTCCATTAGTCTTACCACTGCCAAGACAAAAGAAACAGACAAACAGAAAATAACACCACTGAAATGTATTTGAAGTATATTACTGACCAAGAACAATCACACACAATTTTGTGACTCACGATTTTTCTTCTTTAATGTACATTGGAGAAATGTCTTTCAAATCAAAAAAATTAAACACTAAGCAAAACTTTAGTTTCAAAATATTGTAATTTAAGAACAGTAATTAATATTTTTTTAAGGTATTAAAGCTTGCATTTTGTGGGGTCTTCTTGAAAAAATAAACGAGCATTTGTTTCCAAGCTTATCCGTGGCATTTATTTGCTATTCTTTAAAATATTTCCCTCAACTTTCTAACAATCATCTTTGAAATTGTAGCCTGCTATGCCAGAGGAAAATAATAGAAATAATATCAAATATTAATTTAACAAAACCTTTCTCTTATTTGCCTTTCAGCTGCTCCTTTCTGCTGACTTCATACACTGCACTGATGCATAGGTTACAAAAATGCAAACACATATATAGCTTTTGTCACTAAAACTTCAAAGTAAAAGCTTTGGACATTTAGCCTAAAGATAAGCCATTACATATTGCTCTCTTTCTGCAGTGCTCACGTGTCCTTATTTATTTTACTCTGGTACAAATAGTTTAAGTGATTCAGACATGATGTAGCAAATCTATCAAAGTCAAGGTTTAATAAACTCAACAGTGGATCCCATTTCAACTCCTAGAATCTGATCATTTTTTGTAGGGCTTATTTTTCTGGCACTAAAATAAGTGGCAGATTAATTCATCCCGATAGACACCATCTGTGGGCAATGGACTTTCTCTCACGAAGTCATATTAACAGTAGTCATTATTTTCACTTGGACTTTAAACATCATTAATATAAGCTTGAAGTGTTTAAATATATAAAACTTTGCTGAACTATGTGATTTTACACTACTATAGCATATATACTTATGCTGAAACTCAAATTTCAAGTTCTACTTCTGTTACTTGATAACATGATTTGTTTTCTCAAGATCCAGTAAGACATACTGGTAAGAATTTACCGCAGAATTTCTGTACAGTTTCAAAAGATGGTCTAAATCTTGCAGAGTTCTGCTGAATTGTAACAACTAGTGCCATAGTGCACTGTTTTTGTTTTCCCAGTTGTTGCATCTTTTCATTCTTGGTAAAGCACAGAGATAAAGCAAAGACATAAGATAAATTTTGTCCTGCCTCAGCACTAATCTAAAATACCTGAAAATGAATATTCTGTACTGATGTGAGATCTACATATTTTAAAGCTTTTAATTTGCATGTTTAAAGCATCCTAACAAACTTTGATTTAAATTAATATTGAAGATATTTTATTGTGATACTGCAAACAGTCTAAACAACCAAAGTAGTAGTAGCAACAACAACATCATCAATGTGATGTTTTAGTAAGATTTGCTTCTGAAACATCAGCAAGCAACTTCCTTAGAATGTGCATCATTTCCTGAAAGAGGTAGGTATTTGGAAAAGTGCCTGACAATTTTTTATTTTTGCTTTCTGGGCTGATTGTACATATGAATAAAGTATATACACACAGGTTTGCAAATGCAACAGTACCTGTATCCATAATGGTAACTGTTTACAAAGACCTTGTAGAACAGCTTGAACATGCCATCTGTTCTCATCCCAGTTTCACATGTCTTCATATTGCCCATCTTTGTATTCTATTATTGCAGAGACTTTACGTTTCAAGAACTTGTATAAAATTATGTGTGTACATGAATGTCAACTGGAAGAACTTAAGAGTTTTTTGCAGAAATATGTAGATATACATACTTTCCAGCAGAACAATTCTTTGTCTTCCTTGTCCATCTAGCTATTATTTTACTCTGAACGGATTATTACTTAAACCCATGGAATGACTCATGGAACTATTATGGAAAATGGACAGCAACAGCACACTTTAATTCAGCCAGGACATGTATGCTAATGGAAAGTAATACAGAGTCAAAAGGAAAAATGTTTTAAGGAAAAATATTTTTGCAATTTATGGACATCAGAAAAATATAGATATTCAGGTATTTGCTTGCTACAGGCTGAAAAAAATATCCTCTTCTGTATCTCTATTTTTTCATTTTAAAATGCAAACTTCTCTGGCTGTTATAACTAAGATTTCAAGCCTAATGCTTTAATTTAGCTGAATGTTCAATTAAATTTATACTAAAAAAAAGAATTACCACTCAATTTAATCTTTGTTTTACATTCTGTAAAATTTTGATCATCTACTATTACGATAAATTATACTTTTGAATTTCATATACTTTATTCCTATAAATTTAAAAACCTACATGATGCTGGATATCATAGTATTGCAAAATATGATTCTTACCAGCTGGCCACATGTTGAAAACACAAAGGCAAAACACAAACTTCTATTAATGGGACAGTCAGGTTAAGGAATATTCATACCCAGGGTTGCTCATGGAAATATATTTTTAAAATTCACATGCATTGCATTGTATGTAATACTCTTCATTTTGTCAGGATCTGAAGGCAGGCCTACTCAAATGTTTAAATGGATAATCTTCTGCTGCATTTTTTTACTTTATGACTTCTAATGATCATAGTGGGCTCAATTTAGTTCTGAAATACTGCTTGTAAACTCTTTGAACATGAAAAGAACAATATGATGGTGACAGTAAAATAGTTAGCAGATCGTGAATCAACCTAAGCCAATATTGTGTCACTGATTTCAATACCTATGCCTTGGTATAACTTCTGTTAGAAAATACAGAAATTATGTAATTTTCATTTCATACTAGGATTTAATAGGTAATGAGAAGACCTAGAGAAAACTCACTTTTCTAGAAGTGCTGGTAGAACAGGAGTAGATGTTAGATTGCTCCTTCCATTACTAGGTGATTCAGACTGTAAGTGACAAACACCAATAAATGTTACATCCATGAATTAATTTCAAACGAGTTTTCAATAAAACGACAAAGTCAATGTGCTGCTTAGGTTTTCTTTCCACACCCATGAGCAAGGTATCTTTAATATGGAGCTTCTAAATTAGTCCTACTAACCACAGTAGACAATGGGCTTGCACACTAACGAGAATTTTCTGCAACATTCCCTTCTACTCCACTTATGTTTTCCAAGAAGTCTTTCTTCTTCATACATTGATCAGTGAACAGTAAAATTATTACTTCTCTCCATATTATCCTAGGAACATTAATTTATTAGCTAAATTCTCAATGGAAAATTCTAAACAAAAATAAATTATAATAAACCATGGTAAAGAAACACACTTGGTTCCTGAAGCAATTGACTCTGAGTGCACAATAACTAAATTGCACAAACATTGTTTTTTAAAAAGTAAAACAGATTTAGCTTCTCAGCAACACCATTTAAATAGTCCTACATTTTTAACAGAAAACTGCATAATTTTCAGGTTATGTGCCATCTTAGCTCATCTCTGTTTGGAGTTTTCCTCCAAAGCATTTACATACATTTATTAAGTTCAGATAAGATTCTCATTTAATTTATTAAAATTTTATAAAGAAAAAGTCAAAGGCTGATAGGTTCACTAATCCCAGATCTTCTAAATTTGTACCACATACATTTCTGTATGGCAGTTATAAGCTTTAGTTTAGTGGACTCTTAGGCAATGAAGGGAAGCACAGTCCAATCAGCTTCTATGGGTTCTAGTTAAAACTTCTCTCTTACAGTGGACAACTATTTTCACTACCCCTTTCCTGTATGTTACTACAGATTAAAAGGCAAATTGCCTCAGCTAATGTCTAATGCCTCTGAATGACCAGCTAGCCCTATTCAGCTCTGCGTCCAAAGTCATCATCTATGGAGGCAGATTTTGGAGGCATATGTCCCTTACAAAAGAGGAATTACCTTTGTCCATCCTCTTCAACAGGCTGGAGTCAAAACAATGAAAGAGCTTACATTTTTTTAGTAACTATGGCTTGGCTGTATGCAGAGTGTTTTAGACAAAAAGTAGTATCTTTGAACTGTGGGTTTTACTTACCAGGGATGGCATTGAAGGTATAGGTGAAGCTGTTGGTGACTGACCAGGAATGTTTAAGGAGTTAAATTTAGGAACAACAGCAACACTGACTCTCCTCCGAGGCATATTCTGTGACAAATAACATTTTATTTTCTATCATAAAACAAGGTAGACTGAAGAACAATTCTACAAGTTAATAGGTGTGGCAAAGATGTAGGTTAATGTCCCTTGGGGGAAACGGGAGTTGTGAGCAAAATTAAGATAAATGGCTGTTAGGGCTGTGGTTTTCCCCAGAACTTCCTCTTAATGTCTGGTATGGCAAGTGCTTAGTCTAAAATGAGGTGTTGTACAGGGATGCTACTCTTTTCCCTCCACACTGAAAGCCCAATAATGTAAGCCACACACCAGATATGTTGCAGGCTGTCATTGTCAGTTCTTATTAGAGGCTATTATCTTTGGTTAAACCAGATTTATAATGATACTGGGAAAACTGCCAGTGTCACAATGACCAGAAAATAATGAAGTTACACTCCAAACTCTTCTCTTGGTATGTACCCATTATGATATACTGTACCCACTAAGAAAAATTAATTATTTCCAAACCTACAAATTATAACTTACAGAAACAATAACATCCTTTCCCTCCACAAAAGAACAGAACCTTCTCCCCCACCCTTGAGTTGTTAGCTGTCCATCCAGCATCATGAGACATTGCTTACATTTCCCAAAGACCATGGAAATTTTTTACACAATAAATACATGCTAACTTTACATAACATATTGTAGCCCAAGTATAGATCATATTGCTGTCATTAGGTAAATAGCCAAATACTTCATCCTATGATATACACCTTGTGAAATCTACTCTTCCCACTGATTAAAAAATTCCAAGGCCATATAGTATCTAAAGCTTCATCTTAGCACATATCCAAATACCTCTAAGATTCTGCTCTAGATAACTTTATGAGAAAGGTTTTAAACAGATTTGCTGCATATATAGAAGGAGTCACCTACTCCCTGATCCTAGTGCTAGACAAATCCAATTAATGACAGAGGTTTATCTAATGTGCTCCTAAAAAGCTATACTTGAGAGTCAGCAGCCATGTTAGGCAGTCTATGCAAATGTTTTGGGGTTTTTTTTTGCCCCTCTTAATTATCTGGACTCGTACTTGTCCTTGTTAAATTTCATCTGTTTTGGGGACCTCTGCTTCAACTTATATGGTTCTCATTCTGAAATCCAGTCTTGTCCTCAGCATGCTCTGTGCTCTAATTCTTTCTATTCAGCACTTGGAGGTGGCAGGAATAAACTAAATCCAAATAACTACAACCCAAGCACATAAAAATATGAAAAGAAATAATAGACTGAATATAATGCCTCTGATCACCAAATTTCATAATGGCCACATTCGGACTTGGCTCTCTCAAATCACTGGTTGTTTTAGGAAGTTTTGTACTAAACTACCTCCAAAACTTGGAATTTTTGTAGAAATGGAACACTGGCCATGTCAAAGTTATTAACTGGTAAAGCCAAAACAATCTGAGAACACCTCTCTGAATGCTTTCTCAAACCAAACAAGATATTCTGATGCTAACTGTAAAATAAGCCCCACTTAAAAATAACTGTTTACATCTAAGGTACTTTGAACATGATATAATTCTTAAGATAATGAAAATGATATGATCATGGAATCCCTGACCATGCAGTAAGTTTTGATCCCATGTTCAGCTTCCTCACTGAGGAACTACAATAAAGCACAGGGCATAAGCAATTCTCTGGAGTACAGGTATGTGGCCTCAAATACAATTAGTCCTAAATAAATAGGTCCCTTTATTATTTATAGCCTCACAGCAAGCATTATCATCATCACACAGTCTTGCTTAATCACATATCCAAAATTACAAAGCATTTGCACTAGTTTACATGAACAATATTGAGAATTTATCATCACTATGTTTTGAACACAGATTATAAAATTGAATGTATGTAGACAAAGAAATTTCACTACATAAAATGTTCACTTGATTTTCTGTATATTGTAGAATACCTTTCCAACAGTAAGAGACATGGATCTAGATGAACGAGGTACTCCATCTTCTGCATAAAAACAGTAGATAAAGAACAGTCTTAGATTATATGAGTATCTATAAATAATATTTATAGAGCCCTTGCTTGTATTTCAAACTCAGATGTAGTATATTTAGACAAAGTCTGTAGTGACTTATCTGTCATACAGTTCTGGTCTTAATTACACCTGCAGAAGAAATCTGAAATAATTGCAAAAAATTGAACCATTACAATCTTTACAGAGATCAGACAAAAGCCCACTATTTGCCTCCATATACAAGTTTTTGCAAAAGAAAATATGAGTATTTCAGTTTCCAGCAAACTAGGAAAGAAAAGGTTGCAAAAAGAAAAAGTAATTTTTTATTAATGAAATTTTGCCATCATCTGTCATCTAAGAGGTAGTTGCGCCAGAACTGTGCAAGCTACACATACGTGCAAGAGGACAATGAAAATGTCGTTGAATCTGATCAGAATTCTGTGAATGATAGTGATTTTAAATTACTGTACTATAGCATTAATTATGGGTTATATGAAGTATTTTAGCTGTTATATCTGTAATTTTTTGAAATCTCCTTTGGTAGATCAGAACTTCATGAACAGGTTTCATGATACTTCACTTTTCAGCATTAATGGCACCAACACCTCTTTGTATAAAGGCAAGACAAACCCTTAAATTTTTTTTTTTTTTACCAGATGCACCATAGCTTCTGCTAGAATTCTGACTGGCAAGTTTCTTGAACTCCATTAGTTCAGCATGATCCTTTTCATACGTTCTTTTCAGATTTTCCACATACTGCATCATTACTTCTGTTGCCTTTGACATACGCTTCTCCTAAGGAAGAAAAGAAGGGAATACTCAGGTAACCTCTATACTTCTCAAACAAATCATTTGCCTCTATGTTTACGCTCCCTTTGAGGGCTAAATCTGGAATAGTTTTTAAAGAAATACTGGTACATCCATGACTGAAACTTCCTAAGCTAATTAGAACACAAATGCACATGCATTCATATATATCCACAGAATATCATAATTTATTTTGTCATATATTTATACAGTCTGCCTGTGTGACTATGTTATTAGTTATGTGGTATACATACATTTGTTTTCAAACTCTCGAAGGTCTTAGTCACTGGCATCAGTCTAGTTACTTTAGTGGGTAGACAGAACAGTCTTGAATCTGGGAGGGTATTGCTATATTCTCATTTATACTTGCTTGGTTCTTATACTCTTTATAGTTGTCTGTCTAAGCTATTGCCAAAGGCAGGTGACTGAACTAGATGAGCCTTTTGACGCAGAAAAGCTTTCTTATTCATCCTGCAGTGATTTTAAATAATTTTTTTGTCATGCAGATATAGTTCTGAATAATATATATGCTCTTATTGTACAGATGTTGAATAGCTTCATGGGTAATCTTCCTCTGTTTGAATCTGATGTCCGCACTGAAATGGTGTCTTATCTGACACTACAATACATGTCTTTAATCTGTCAAAATGGCAAATAAAATTCAAAGGGCTAATATAACCTCCAGCTATGGTTGAAAAAGAGTGAACATGTGCAGCCAGGATACATGTTAGACACCAGGATGTTCTTACCTGCCGAACAGCTCCAACCATCTCAGCACGACTAGATAGTCTAGCAGCTAAACGCCGCAGAACAGCAATATCCTCCAACAGCTTCTGGTAAGCTTCTCTGTGTTCATAGTGATGCCATAAGTGAGCTGAAGACTGAAGTGAAAATACATAAGCTCTACTGTCATGTCTTGCCACTTTTAGTTTAGACGAAGTAGCCTGAGCCACAGAAGTGGGGCAGACGTCTCTAGGCAGAACTACACATGGACAAATTAGCCCCGGAGGAGTGCCATCACTACCACCAGAGATAACCTAGAGATTTCTGCCGCTTTGTTTCAGAGCATAGTGCAGGCACACCTTTCGAGGACTTAAAAAGGGCTAAGCATGTTTGCAATACTTTTCCTTTTGAAATAAGTGATAAATCATGCCTAGCTACCTATGAACTTTACAAATGCCAAGCTTATTTGAACTAGTACTAACAAATGATTGCCAAAACACAAAGAACATTTTAATTCGCTGGGCATAAGGTATTAAGAAGGCCACTTACGTTCTTTCAGTTCCATGATAATTCACTTATTTGGAAAATAAGACATGATAGTCTCAAGAATTCCAAATGTAAAGAAGTAATCAAAACAAATATGGCCTGTAAATCAAACAGCAACTGCAATTTCTTAACTGTTTTTTTGTCAATCAATACACACATTTATACACTGGATTAATAACTCTGATAGCTCAGACTAATACTGAAAAGCACTGAAGCATATAACTTCCTTGGGATAAATTACCAAAAGAAAGAGGGAATTTAATTGTCTTTTTAGCCAAAGCCTTAGTGAACACTTCTTCAGTGAACGCGTTTTCTGTTTACAGAAAAGTTGGATATGAGAAAGCCCAGTATAGTTTAGTTCAGGCTTACAGGCAGACTTTGTGATACTGGATGATTCCTATAAAGAGCATTTTCGGGATGCATCAGTTTTGGCACTGAGGTGTCTTAAGTAATCACTGTGTTGCTGTTTACACAATTATCCCTCTGACCAGTTGTATTGTGCCCTAGTTCTCTGCAGCCCCTCACTTGTATTACTGCAAGAGTAAGTCAATGCATTGAAATGATCTGTGTGAAAAGAATAATGTTTCCTCCTCCTCTTCTTCTCCCCCTCTTCAAAAGAAGGGAGTGATGTGCAGTAACTTTTTGGGTAGTGTTATTTGAGAAATTGCATTTGTAGTGCAAACCTTTGGTGTAGAAACTCAGCCAAGATACTGATGAATTTGGCACAATGACAACAAATGCAGCAACAAAAAATTCTTATTTATCACTGAAGCTAGTGATATAAAATTGCAGCCAAAATTTGACTGCAAGACCCAAGAAGGCATAAGGAAATCTGAGAAAAACATGCACAGAATTTCAGATTTTCAAGTTTTTCTTGGCAACTGTAACTTATTTTCTCAAACAAATCTTAAATTCACGTAAATCAGCTTTCTCTTGAAGTTGGTTTTTGAATTAAACATCAATTATCACAAGATTGATAAAAAAATCACAAAGACTTGTAAAACTGTCATTGAGCCACATAACATGCTTGTCCTACAGGAATGAAGATAACCTCCCACAGAGACTGGAACAAGTCTAGGTCTAATAAGATACAGATCACATAGAAGTTGTCATTTCATTTAATTGTTAGCTTATTCCATTGTACAGAACAAAAGCTTTCATATGAAAATGGCAGTTTCCACTATGTTATAAATTACATTAAAAAGATTGTAAAAGCCAGACTGTAGTGTGTGAACTGCACAAAGGAGGAAAAAGCTAATCACATCCGTCCCATGCTGGCAACATGGTCCTTGGTGCCTAACTAGGGATTCTTAGCAGAAATACATGTCAAATCTAACAGACTAATTGTTCACAGTTTTAAGAGCCCTTGTACACTAAAATGTGTATATATATAAAATATTATAATAAATAAACCCCTGAGATTTAATAGGTTGTTTCTGCTCGCTCTTTAAACAGAGAACAGAGGGAAGAGCAGCAAAACACTCAAAACATTTTTTTCTCCAGGAACAATTAATCTGGAAATGCCGATTTGACATTCCAGATGACAAGATGTAAATATCACAATTTTTTTTTAATTGTATCCTTTCTTACCTGATGTTCTTGATAAATTAAATGGGAGAATCGTATGTTCTCCTATTTCTGAAAACTATGGCAGCACCTCCTTGTAACATGCAAATTGGGTTTATGGGTATTTCCTTTAGCAGCATGGCATCTAAGCATCCCTTCTTTTTTTTTTGCACAAAAACACATGCAGCACATATGTTGACACAGAGATGTATTTGTCATTTCACTTAGAAAATCCAGAAAAAGCTGGCAAGAAGGACTAAAAACTACTGTTGATCAAAGAATGTCAGGGACAGCTGTAATGAAAACCTTTACAGACCCATAACCTGATCCTGGGATTGCATGTATTCCCTAAGTAATCCTCGCTGTTTCCTTTGCCATATTGCTTTCTATTGTCTGCAGTTAAGAGGTCTTTCAAGCGGCAAATCTCAGGACTTGGAACATTTCAGTATCTCACCTAACTGGAGACCTCAAATTTATTGCTAGTCTTGCCCAGGAGAGCATGGATCAGTGCTCATATTGCAGCTCTGAATGCTCTTCGCTTTGTCACAGGTTTATTCCAAGAATCGAACAGTATTTATTCCTGAAATCTGTTAGAAGCAGGGCAACATCCTCCATGCATTCCCAACAATGGTGGCCACTCTGGCAGAAAATGCTCTCTGTCATATATAGTGGTAGGCAGCTTACAGGAAGGAGCTTGTGTCACCAAAAATGAAGTTTTGGTACTGAATTTCAATATATAAGGAAAGCATAGCCACACATATTTAAAATGTGTGTGCACTTTCATGTACACTACAGTTCAGAAAACAAATTATTGTTGTTTTCTTACCGTAATGGCTGCTTTAAAGTTTTCCAGTTCCTTCTCAGCGTTCTCTTCAGTAAGATTTCTCTCTCTCTCTGCTTGGTTAATTCTAGATTCCAAGGTATAACTATCATTTCTAAAGGCCAAGGAAAGTTGTACAAATACATTCTGTTTGGATTTAAAAAGGCATTTTAAAATACATGTCACAGTAACATAATTTCCTGTAAAAACTAAGATATGTTTAACATACTTTGGTGCTTAAATAAGTACTGAAACAGAAAATTGAAAATTTTTCAGATTAGACCGTTTCAAAAATCACTTCTCTCTACTTCCTCTAAAATATGAATGAATGTGTTGCTGCCTCTTTTCCTGAATGTTTTTATCGGAGATGAGTAGGACAGAGACAGAATGAAGAAAGTAGCCTATCAAAAGTATCAGAATCACAATGGATCTGTTTTCTAGCTGGACTTCTTCCAGGGGTCCCCAAGGTTTTCAAACAGATAGTCTGTGTAGAGGAAGTCCAGGGATGAGCTCACCATTAGCATTGTTTTACCTAAGGGATAAACACCTACCACTGAATCCAGCAATGTCTTGAACTGAAAAAGTAAAAATTATGTAAACTAACTGCAAGATATCATAAAAAACTTCCCCAAAGCTCCTATTGGCCAATACAAAAATGCAGTTCAACTCCTTTAGTTTCTGGCCTCATTTAATCTCAATTTTTTTTACTATTTTAAGTAAATTATAAAAATTTCCAAAATGAATGTGTCTTTTATTAAGAAGAATGCACAAACAAGTGTTTTGCTTATTCCTACTCGAAGTCTTTTTACAATTTATATTCCCTGGGACAATTGCCCATATTTCATAAAACTGTTATTTTGATTGAGCTCAATATGTTTTTTTTCTGAGAAATATTTTTTGGAAAAAAAAATCCCATTACCTGATTCTAATAACTACCATTAGACTTACAGTAACCACTTAAAATTGAGGCATATGTCTAAAATAATGAGTTTAAGAACATACTTACCTCAACTTCTTTCTCAGTGAGTGGAGGGGAGCTAGAAATAAAAGCAAAAAATTCACATTTGCCTCTAAAAGCAAAGCTATTATAATATTTAATCAAAAAGAACAACAAAAGACATCTCCCTTAAATATTTTATGGTTTCTTTTGGTGAAACCAGTATTTAATTAATTCAGTTGTACTTGTTAAGGCTAAACCCCATGGATTTTTTTAATAGTGACAGCATGGTATCACCTGAATATTGGCAAAAACATACCAAAGTTTCTGACAACTGCAAATACTGCTATCTGCACTACATTGTGATAAATTGCGAGTACAAGAGCAAGGCAGAAGTTACCCTTTTAGAGTTGTGGGTGACTTAATACACTATACTTCAGATCATTATCTTTACCCGTTTTCCTTCTGTTAACAGTCAAAATCTCAAGACGATGACTGCAGATAATCACAGATGGGCAGAATTCAAAACCCAGCTCACTGTATACTGAACTACCCCATTTTGGCTGCTAACATTGTTAGAAGCTAGCTAACAATGATTCTGACGCTGACAAAATGTATGTTTGAGTTTTCCACCACAAGAAGGATCACTGACTATACATAAACCACAAAAAGTTACCAAAACAGTTTTCTAGAACAATATAAAAGAAATAAGACAGACATCACTATATTGCAAGGTCTCATTTAAAGGCAGTCATCCCATATGTCTAAATTTACACGTTCTTATTCCCTATAATTGTTCCAAAACATCAGAGAGCTCAGTTTTACACAAGTGAGTAGAGACGAGAAACATCTGAAAGAAATGACAAATTCTAGTGGGTGCCAGTGATAGGACTTGTGGTTGACATACCTATCATGCACTGTGCAGACATGATACTTTCAGAAAATTCAAATATTATTGTAATATTCATTGCACCATTAATCCCAAATATAGAAATCAATGCATCTGGCATCAATGAGCACCAGATTTTTCTTGTTGGGTAGAATAATATTGATACTTAGAGTAGAGACTAGAAGCAGGGAGGCCAGTGTGTCTCCTGTGTTGGAAAATCGTTCTTTGCCTGAAGTATTAGTATTCATATTACTTATTGTTACTTAAGGAGGAAGAATACTAGAAGGAGCAGTCCTTCTAGAAGGAAGTTCAAGCATCTGTGTGTGTTATATACCACAAAACAGAATGATAAAATTCATGTCTTTCCTTTGGCTGGGAAGGTTCTGGGAAATTTAGAGTGAGAATGAAAAGTTATGTGTGTATTTATTCAATAGATTAAGCCAACAGACTAAAGAATATTACCTGAAAAACAGAAGATTTGTATATTATCAGATCCTCAAAGCGAGTTCAGCATTTACCTATCTAGTACTTAGCCATGGAATTGCTTTTCTTTTCAGCATTTTATTACAGTCAAGCAGTGGTCTCTTAGAACTTCTTTACCTTGTGCATTCATTTATATAAACTTTTATATAAAATGTTGTATATAGCAGTTTCTTCACAACAGATGTTAAATATTTATTTCATCTGCACAGGACACTTATTGACTGCTTTAAATGATTGAAGGCCTCTGGTATTTATAGTATAAAAACACACAGGTGAATTTAGGAACAGTTTTGACCAAACATGTTTGGAATTGTTTTAATGTCTAATAAGCATTTTTTTGTTATGGTTTTATTTCTCTCAAATAAAAGGCTTATGCAGGAATATGGAAGAAGCTTAGCTTTATTCTAATGCAATACAAAACCAAAGATGCTCAGTCTCTAAAGTTATCAGTGGTGCAAGGTATGCAAGGCATGTGGTGATAAATGCTTGATTTGAGCTTTCTTCCTTACACTTCTTTGGCCAGAGCAAAATATTTTCTGAAGTTATGGACTTCTGTATCATTTTAAACATAAATCTCCCTCCAAAAAGGAAAATTCCACTTAAATTCTGTCAAGAAAATGTTAAGTGTGGATAGCAGTAAACTCAAATCAGAACGAAAATTTGTATTTCTAAAGTTCTGGACAAACAACTGGCAGGTATAGTCTATTATGACTCCACCTCAGAAGAGCATGGACCAGAGGATTCCCTTGCTATAGTTACACTGTATTATGCAACAATAGCTCTAGTTTCAAATGATCTCTTGTATGATGCTACCCTACACATCTATAACATGCAGACATACTGTTTCAGGCTGCATAAGAAGGAAAGGAGAAACTCCTGAGCAAGGCAGGTGTTAGGCAATCTGTTGGTAAGTGCCTACCTGCACAGCCCAACATCAGGGAATTCACCACTTAGTCCTTCAACTACGTTTGCAAAATAAACTCAGTTTCCCTGAAAAATTGTCACCTGCAGAAAAACTGCAGAATACTTACGTGCCCAAATTTTACCATTGGAAAACATTATCTGGCCTGCTTATTTTTCTAGGGGAAAGAAATACTAACATTTTCAACATGAATTTATATCTGCATCACACCTGAAAACCAGGCATGGACAGACTGATAGAAAAATCTGTATAAAAATGTACTTGCAGCATGCACGTTAGGTTTCAGACTTTTTATGTAGAACTTACAAACTAATTTTAAAAGTTGGCCAGTTACTGGAAGTTGATGGACTCCCCAAAATTTTTCAGACAATCTGTGTTGCACATTTTAAGATGCAGCAGTTTGCCTACTTATATGGATCCCCTATGAATGGAACTCCACAAAGCGAGTTCACTGGAAACCATTAGTGTGCCTTCTCCCGGATGATGTCTTTCTACTTCTAATGAGCTTTTACCTTCCTGGAAGCGATTTGTGCACTCGTAGTTTTCGCAGCAATACATCAGGAATGCTGGGCATGACATCAGAGCTATTCTTTGTCTCTTTCTCTTCAGTGGGGGAGGGGAGAGGTGAAGGGCCTAAAGACATTTTCAGATAAAAAACTTTTATGTTATTAGAAAGTCGTGCTTTAACTATCAATAGTCAGCATCTCAGAGCCAAATAGGACCTTTTAGCCTAACTGTGTCCTTTTTAAAGTCAATGAGGATTTCACCCCAGCTCTACTAGGTGCAAAAGTGAACAACAAGAAAAGGTTCATCCCTTCGTGCAGAATGTTACTTCCTTTATGGTCACAGTGATACATCACTCATCTCTACTGCTAAAGTAAAGATCCCATGTCTTCCATTCAAGTAGTGGCCACAAAAGTAACCAGTACAATTGTCATCCTTTATGTAGAAAGACTGAAGTAATATGCGGTCTGACAGTCTAACACGCACTGAAAAATAATCATTGTTTTTGTATTTTTCCTAGAATTCAAACTGAACGTAAATTCATTACTAGAACATCTAACCTAACGTTTTTCATTTGGTCTTTACCAGTACAGTTACATCATTTCTGGAATATTTTAGCTTAGATTTTTTTAATAGACTACTGTTATTTTCTAAATCTTTAAATGACACCTGACAAGATGAAGTCTAGTACAATATACTGTACTACAGATTTTGTGCACCATTTATGGTGATGAATCTACAAGATGTACTTGTTTGCACTGTATGTTCATTGAAACAGGACATAAAGGTTATAATTGCATTCTCTACTTCTGTCACTTTCATAAGGACCAACATATGGCTTAAACATAGTTTTTAAAATTCATGTTACTTAATTTTTTTTTTAAATTTTATTTCATATATAATAATTTCCTTATCTCATTCTATCTTGCCAGAATTTAATGAAGGCCTCTCCATAGGAAAGTCAGGTTCCTCAGTCTGAATCTCAGACTTGGGAATGTATCTTTGTACAGCTCACCTCACCTGTTCATTTGGATAACAGAAAGATTCTTAGATGTGCAAAACAAATAGTGTGAAAAAGCTCAAATTTTGTAGATGTGGAGAGCATTAACATGAAAGACAGAAGAGAAGGTGAGACTCTTTCTAGCTACATTTTAGATCTGTGCATTTCCTTTATATTTAAAAATTCCACTATTTACTTAAGAGCAGCCATGTGTGTCCTCATAAAAAGCCAGTCTGACATCACAATGTCTCCAGATCTAATATATCCCACTTATCTAATCTTCTGTATATGCTAAGTTGTGTTTACTAAGATGATCACAATAACTTGGCATTGATAGCAAAACATGATGGAGCCAGTATATTTGATTCATAACAGTCATAATGAAGTAGCTGTCTATTTCCTATTGTTTAAGCAAAATTACTACTCTAGTTAAAAAGCACAAGGTAGCTTTTATGACAATGTAAGGAAGTAAGTCTCCTTAACAAATGAACTAAGGATTTGACCCCTCACTTGTTTACCCCACTGAGTTGACTCAAAGGTCAAGGAGTTGACCCTTAATGTTCTGATTATCATTTAGGTAAGTTAGTAGACTTTAAAAAGCTCTTGATGCTCATGAGATCTTGGTTGAAAAGCTGAATAAAATAATGCTTAGCTTTTCATAATGTTTTGCTCAAAAGTTTCAAATCTGCCAAAATTATGTAACAGGCTGGTAAAATGGTAACTATTTTACACTTTCAAACAAAGCCTGCTAAATAATTTCTGGGAAATGACATATTAGCAGAGTGACAGGAATAATATTACCATATCTAAGAATCCAATGATAAAATCACTAAAGTCAGAAAGTGGACGAGAAGTCTCTTTTAATCTTGCTTCATTCAGACTGAAGATCAGTCTGTTTCCAGAGATAATATGAAATGTAGTATGTAGTACCCATCTCCCTGTGTAACAGAAACTTTAAAGCATTATGAAACAGTCCCAAAGCAAATCTATGAATTAGTAAAATGAAAAGTGTTAGGAAAAATGGAAATTGTCTTTGGATCAAATCTTGGACTATCAGTTTCAGGTCTTTTCATATTAACCATCCCTATTACAGTTAATGTGGCCTTAAAAACACTCTGAACAAGTTCTGACTTAATTAATTCCAAAAAAATGTATAGTTTGGGTTTAAATATTTTCAACTGATCGTTCAACACTACTGCTATTTAGTTCTTCCAGCTGTTAAATTGTCCTCAGGATTATATCTTTGCTCTTTTTTCTATTCTGAATCTTTTTAGATGCAGCCTACAGACACCAAACCTCATTTGCTTGTGTTAGATTGGAAAACACATTTGGTGCTAGATTTCTGTTTTCTCATTTATGTAGAGTTTTAAGCCTTTTCCTTATTAAAAATCATAAAAATTGAGCTAAACCCCCCCAACTTATTGTAAGGCATATTTTTCCAATCCTTCAATCACATTTATGTCTCTTCTCTGACTTTACTCTTACTTATCCACATTGACGTAGAGCTGTGGACCAGAAGTGAATATGCCATTCCCTAATATTTGCCACACATACACTAATACAAAAAAAATAAAGGATTCCATCTCTTATTTATACTTTCAAGGATCAAATTCACCCTTATGGCCACAATATTGTGCAGAGGTCACATCCATTCAATCCATCACTGCTAAAACTTTTTTCAGAAAGTCACTGAAACTCGAGACAGTCCTCCATCTATTGAATACAAATCAGACTCTGTTCCAGGTATGTATCTTTTCATTTAGTTGTAATAATATCTACAGTATCTTCTTTGCTCAGATCATCAAGAAATTCAGGTACCTTGATTATTAGTCTCTCTTATAAATTATTTACTACTCTCCTCCATGATTGCTTCATTACTACTACTATTTCTATTAAGAAAGACTTTTTTTTTTTTTTTAACTCCATATTAGTCAATTATAAACACACACTCCTTCCAGCTTTTATGATACCGCACCTTTTTCCTGTTCAGCTGCTTCACTAAGTTCAGGAAGTTTAAGTCCGACTAAGTTTTGATTTCTCATCAAAATATGCTCCTGTTAAGAAAAACAGTAACATTTCTAAGTAACTTCAATAGAAATCTCAATATTCCTGCCATGTGAACACTAAATATAACATTCACTTTAGTTAATAAACATAATGGAGATATCTATATTATAGTCAGATGCTACATAGCATGGATACATGTACATTCACACCCACATTCTTAACTCAAATTTCACACATCTATTATTTAGAAAAATTCCTGGTCAGGCAAAGAGAGATCTACAACATGTACCCCCTACTCAAGCAGAAAAAATGAGTTTTGGTAAATGGGAGGTTTTGTAAATGGTAACAAAAAAAAGCAATTTTAGATACAGCCATAGTAATAAGTCACTAATCCAGAAAGGAGAGAAAATTCAGAAAATCAGATATATGAGACTTTACCACTTTGACTTTGACTTTGACTCATTTAAACAATTATTTAAGAATGGATTAGTTTATCGATTTCATAGTTCAAGTTGATCCTCCACAAAGCTGATACATTTGCACCGTTAGAATTAGAAACTGTAAGTCTAGCCATCCTCCACCTGCCCTTCCTCTCACAGACAGCCATTTTTAAAACTCTGAACACTTTGAGACATTTTCTAAGAATGTTCAATGAGCAAAAAAATCATATCAAAACAATTTCCTGTCCCCTTAGATCTTGCAAATGTAATGTTATTGCAAAGGCTAGCATTCTTGAATGACAGGACTACTGCCCTTAGAAGGGAGAATACCACCCAACACAGGACTCAACACCGCTCAGCTGAACAAAGTAAAAGTGATTTTTAAATCTAAAGAAAATTTACAAATAGTAAACAAGATGCAGAGGCTTGTAAGCCCTCAAACAGAGAGTATAGTAACCATCTCCAAAGTTCAGTTTAAGATCTGTTTATATGCAGGTCTCAACCCACTCATACAGAAATCAATTAGTCAATATTTTGTGAGAGCCTGTAGATCTGAGGACAATTCTGAAGGAGCAGAAAAAGCATAGCACAGGGAAGCAAAGGAAATAAAAGAGCATAAGTGACCTTTTTAAAGAGAACGCTGTTACATCCTGAGGAAGGTAACATTCTTCAGATCTAAAACTCTCTTTAGAAATGAAAACAGATAATTTTTGTCCCAAGTACATTTTACAAATGATATGATTGTTAATCAACTGCTTCCTGTTTATAGCTCATGTAAACGATGCAAAAATGAGATATATTGTGTTTTAGACTACCCTTCTGTCACAATGAAAGCAATTAGTATTTTCTTGACACCAGTACTACCTTTTTTTTTCTGGGGGCCAAAACCTGCATGTGCAAGACCATACGCACATGCGTATGTGCATACTGAAGACACCACAGTGCAGCTGATGTGTATTTGAAGAGAACTAAGAAATAGAGTAATTCCATGGAATTTAGTTACAGGTTACAATTTACTAAATTGCAAAGGAAAAACACAATACAATTCTGGATTGATTTTGCTGAAACTTTCTGATGATATTATTTCATGTTTCTTGCAATGATAAAGACAATGCTAAGTTGAAAATTTAGTAAGATATGAAAATAATGTTAAAACAGGATACAACTGATGACTACAACTTACCTCTCTGAGCTTTGTCAATTTCTGCATTCGAACTGGTTGAACTTGGATTTGAAGGTCTTTGAATGCTTTTAATTTATTGCTGGATTTATTACCACCAACAAAGCTTTCATCTTCCTCAGATGCTAATTTTAAAGGTGTTTTATCTTTCTGTCCAGGCTCCAAGCTATCCCATGATACAGCCCGTAGTAGAGGAGGACGCAGTCCACACAATTTAAATTCTGGTTTACATGAAACTTTATGGTCCTTCATTTCTGGAACAGGATTTTTTAGCTTTGAGTCTATATTTCCTATTCCTGGTCCTGGTAGATGGCTTCTTAAACGAACATCACTTTCTTTTGCTTTCTTGAGGAATAATTTTCCAAGTTCAATTTCACAAGCATTCATGCAAGTGTTAAGAGACATTCTGCCACCATCGCCACCTGAAGGGGAGCATTTAGGTAAAGTATCCGTATGTTTACATGGATCAAAGTTTTCTTTTTGTTCTGAGAGCTTCTCTTTGGAGTTTTCAAAACCAGCAGAACGAGGAACCAGCCTTCCCTGAGAAATCTTTCTCTGATCATTCTGCCTTCGATCAATTAATCCTTTTGCAGTATTCTGAAAGTAGAGGGACACACATAAAATAGAGAAACAAGTGCAGATTTCTCTTTTCCTCTGCCCAAGGACAGATTTTCACTGTAAAAAGCCATTTCCTTTTCAGTGACATCTGCTTTTAAACATGTGCTTTTGATGAGAGAAATAATTTTTTAAAGACACTTGAAAGATCACTGAATTGGGATCTCATCTCTGAACTTTTGAGATAACCTTCTCCCATTCCAGAGTCCATTATACCAATCCTCATACAGCCAAGTTTCTCATCATCTTAATGTAAGGTTTGTCTAAGTGCATGCCTTTAACCCTGTATTTTGTAGCACTATTACTTTCCTTTGATTGTTTTCTATTAGTCTCTCACCTCCCAAGGGAAAAAAAAATGGGCTTTTACACTAAGCTAAAGCACATATTGTAGTTTCTCTTCTTACTTTTGTGTGCAGTACCGTAGATTATCATTTGGCTGCAATCTTTGCAGAAGAATGGGCAAAAGAATGTTTGCCTATACATTGGTTACTTCGGTACAGAATCTATATTTTGTCTAAGAGCACCTGTGTCAGCAATTTAAGGCAACCAACGCACAATCTAACTGTGGGCTCTGCCTTAGATCTGTTGTTACTCCTCGCCTTTATAGTTACTGCTCCAAATACTATCATACTGATTTTTATAAGTATTGCCTAATCCACTCATGGAAAAATCTCTTCAAAGGGCCATCTGATATTACCTAAAACAAATTAGGAGGCATTTATATAAACTTCCCCACAAATAGTTGTGTGGTGCAGTAACATCCCATCAGTGGTGCAGAACACGATGGACAGCAACCTCTTCCAGTGAACAAAGGGATCTGGAAGTGGATATCCAGCTTACGCCAGTGTGACTGTAGCAGATATTTTCACTTGTAAAATTACTGATTTTAATTGAGCTAGAGCAGTGTGCATGGCAGGATGCAAAAGCTAGCTGTAAGCCCATTGTCCTCTGCTACATTTGCAGTATCATTTTTCTTTTCACTCAGTAAACAGTCTTTTAGCCTTTTTAGTCACATAAATAAGTCATACATGTGCTAAGGCCAACAGGCATATTTTGTTCAACATAATGTGAAACACTTACCTCTGCAGTTTGCCTGTCATCCTCTTTCACAGTTCTGTTATTCTAGCAAGAAAGGAAGAAAAAAATTGCCTTACAAAATTATCTTTCACATCTATGCTGCAAATGTCAGGTATAGATACTAAAGGAGAAACTTCAAATCTCTTACTTTTTACACTGCTTGTCACATTTATTTATGAAGTAATTTTAGGGATTAGTTATTTCCATAGATGAGGATTATATTGGATCTTTTTCCATTTTCTACACTTAACAGATCTCTATGATCTTTCAGCACTTGTTACCTCACGGACTTTTGTCTTCAGAGTGAACACTTATTAGTCCCTCACTCTGCAGAAAAAACATATCAATAATCCAATCTTGTTATATAAAATGCTATTCAAAACATCCCATTTTCCTCAGGGACTAACAGGACAGCATAGTGTAATATACCACCGTAATAACCAGGTAACTGTGCAGACTATTAAGCTCTTTCTTACCTGCCCTGGAGATACTGACTCGACACCAGTGGCTGTGCATGCATCAGACCCTAGAAAGACACGTGCATAATTAGGGCATATCCTGATGTTTTGCTCAAAATTTTTACTACTGCAGCATTAGCAAACACATACATGCACAGTTCCATGTAATCTATTACGGACAAAACTTAAGCATGGAAAATACTATTTACGAGGGAAAAAAGAAGATCTACAATATAGTAAGTTAAAGATCATTAAAGCTTCTCAAAAATCCATTACTGACAATAATAAAAATAATAGAACAAATAACCTAGCAGCACCACTGGAATAAAAATACAACACAAAAAATTATATATGTAAAAATATATATTGTGGGCATTCATAAGCTTTATCATATTCAGGAGGAGATGCTTGAATCTACAGATTTTGACTTCTCCTCAAGAAGTACTAAACCCCACATTTTTGGTGAGCTTTAATAAGTTGAAGTTTGAGCCTGCACAGATCATTGTACCTGATGGAACTGGAAGAGTGAGAGAGTTGCTCCAAGATGCTACTGGTGAAACTTTAGGACTAAGTGTAGGGGAAACTGCTTCATTAAAACACAGACAAAAAAATAAAAAAAAAAAAAGGCAATTTTACTTTCTAGGCTTGTAGCTTCTGAATTTTTAAAATTCAGATAAGATTAAAATATGAATCTCATAGTCATCAGTCATGTGTTTGCCAGAACCTGACAAGTTATTTTAAATGCCAGGTTGTACTTTGCAGTTAGGAACTCAGAGTAGCTTGTATCTTCTCCCCCTGCCACAAACTAATACAATTCTGTTGATACACAGAACCCTTATTCTCCTCAGTTTTCTGAAACTGTAAGCACTGCAGAGAAGTAGACACAAGAGAGGGATTCACAAGGAATTTAGAGGAAAAAAAAAAAGAAAATCTAATTTTAAAAAGTATAGTTGTTCTTTTTCCTCCAGAAAGTGCCAAGCCAATATTAAGATAGAACTTTGTTTTGAAACGGCATTTCAAAGCTAAATGAAAGTCCTTCTTCACGATAAAATGGCATTTTCTCTTAGGTTTCAAATACTTCATATGAGGGGGAAAATAATTTCAGTTTATATTCTAGAACAAACATGTTATTCTGCTCTTTTAAAAGGAGAATCTGGTCCATTTAGCTTAGTTTATGACTATGTTCAGAATAAAACTCTGTGTAATTATTTCTGGCGGGAATGCTTTTTCAGCAGTATGAATCTTACCATTATATACAACAAGAACTTTAGGAAGAAAATCTTCACAAACAGAAATTTGTGACCACTTTTTAGATTTCAGTAGAAATACTTCACGCTTTCCTGTTACAGTGTTTGCAGTGTGTCATTCAGACACTTAAAAACTTTACACCATTTTCCACTGTTACATCTGAATATAGAGATTGGTCATTTCTGCTTTGTATGGAATTGTGAGGAAGGGCAGAGTAATTCTGACCTTCAAATTAAAAAAGCGTACGTATACAGTAGCAATGTATGCATTACAACAGATGCTTGTTTATGCCTTTGGAGATCTTTGAATAAATTTTGTTTTTAGAATCTGCACCTACCTGTGGGTGACTCCGGAAGGCTGCTTCTGGACTTTCTGCCTCTCCGCATTAGAAACCTCTCGCTCACTTTCTTTGCTTCTTCTAGTAATTCAAGGTTCTTCTTTTTGTCTTCATCTGATATTTTGACATCTGGCAGCTGATCATTTACCAGATCAATCACATGGCCGCTGTTGTCTGGGTAGAAAATGTTGTAATTAGAGCTGCACCTCGTATTTCCAGATATGTTGTGGCACTCCACAGTAGCAAGTACAAAACACACCTATAAATTTAGCTTTGAGCTAGCATTTAACAAACATTAATGTCTGCTCATTTCTAACGTTGTTATATTCTCAAGTTTAAAGCAAGTCCTCATAAACACAGATAACCCACTAAGATTCAGTCACTATGATCAAAGATGCTCTGACATGTGAAACTGGCTTTTCCATCTGTGTCCCCAGTACAGTTTTTCTAATTTATCAGTAAATGTGGCATTAGATCCATCTCAATTAGCAGTCATGGCTTTTCCATTGTAGGCTTAGTTTTTCCATGGATTTTGTATGTCCACTTTTTCAAGGCTAAGGTCCCACAAACTCACCTAGCAAAGATTTATGCACACTAGTTTTAACGTACAGGTGATTCTATGAAATAATCCATAAAGTGCAGAGTTTGGAAGTATAAAGATTTTATTCTATGCAGGTGGAAGAGCTTTTCCCACAAATTCAGAAGCAACAGTGAAGCTGTATCTGGCAAAGCTGCAGGCAGAAGTTGAATAGCTAAAGCTTGACAATTATAAAGCTATTTCAGAAAGCAAATTAATCTCTACCATGTCATGGACCTGCAAGAATTTTCCAAAGGAATTGCAAATCCCATTAGAATATCCAATGGTTAAAGAAGGCAGTGTTAGAGATTGCTTTTCCTCACGCCCACTTATGCTGACGTGTTAGATATGTGACCCAGGAGAATGCATGGACCACAGGCTGAAAGCCGCTGCCTTACACTTACACATTTAGATTAATGCATTGTTTCCTAAACCATTTTTAATCAGTTGTAGAAAGAACCCATTAATCCTTGTCTTCCAAATTGGTTGAAAACACTAAGCTATGAGCACTAATTTTTACAAGGCCCTTTCTGTGTGAGTTGGTATGAATGGCTTCCTTAAGCATCTAGGCTTGTATGGAGAAACAGTTACCTGAAAACACCAGGCCAAAGAAAGGAAACATATTTGGTGACAAGGTAGTGTGTGCAAGTTTTTCATGGGTTGAGAAACTCTACAGACTAGTAAGCTTATTAGACCTACATGAACTGATAAATAGATCACCAAGAGTCTGCTCAATCTGTATGAAGTCACTGGCACATACTAGCATCAACAACAGACTGCAAGTCTGACGTTTATTCTCGGGCAACTATGAGAAAATTTGTGACTGCATGAGTGAACTAACTATATGAGTGAACTAACTATACGAGTGAAGTGATTGTATTGCGCAAAGAGTTGTCTGGTATTAATAACAACTTGATCACATTAACAACAGCTTAGTGAATAAAATGTGTTCTAAGAAACATCAGTTGTGAATGTGCCTCTCCGCAGCTTGATGCCTTTATTAGGGAAGAAGGAATTTGAAGCGCTGTTCTGCAGTAAGAACAACTTAATAAAGAACAGGTTGGTTGAGGGGGAGGGAAGTCATCAGGTAATACGAGAAAAATATTTTTAGATTTGATGAGAGCTATTACAGAACAATCAGTTTTCAGAAAAGCTAAGGACATAACTAAGCATCAAAAACTCTAGGGATTTTGGTTTGTGGGTGTGGGATTGGTTGGTTGGTTGGGTTTTTATTTGTTTGGGGTTTTTTTGAGGGGGACAGGGTTGTTATGATTTTAATTTCCACAGATTTAGTTAAATTTCAAGGCTGTCAAAAAACACGCCCACAGATTCTTAAAGCAGTCTGTTTTTAATGAAATAACTGTTTTGTTTCATGCTAAGATTTGTGTGTTGAAAGTTTGAGAGAAAGACCTCCCATGGCACTTTCTTTGGGCCAGCAAAAGAGGAGAGCTGCAAGGCATGGTAATTTCTATCTTCCTTGAGCAGGCAAGTTTTCCTCACTATACTCAGCATCTTTGCCTTTTTATATTTGCCTTGCCTTCTGCCTCTTCACCACTTCCATTTCCCTTCCCCTTTGCTGCCATTTCCTCCTTTCACATGAATTCCCTTTAGTTTCTACTGCTGCGCCCCATCTCTGCACCTGCTTACAAATTACAAGCGTTGAAAGAATCACTTGTTGATTCTCGTAGAATCATAGGTTGGAAAAGACCTGTAAGATCATCAAGTCCAACCATCAACCCATCAACACCATGCCTACTAAACCATATCCCGAAGTGCCACAGCTACACGTTTTCTGAACGCCTCCAGGGATGGTGACTCAACCACCTCCCCGGGCAGCCTATTCCAATGTCTGACCACTCTTTCAGTAAAGAAATTTTCCCTAATATCTAATCTAAACCTCCCCTGACACAACTTGAGGCCATTCCTTCTCGTCCCGTCACTAGTTAGTTGGGAGAAGAGACCAACACCTACCTCACTACAACCTCCTTTCAGGTAGTTGCAGAGAGCAATAAGGTCCCCCCTCAGCCTCCTCTGCTCCAGACTAAACAATCCCAGCTTCCTCAGCCACTCCTCATAAGACATAAGGTTCTCTAGAACCCTCACCACCCTCGTTGCCCTTCTCTGGACATGCTCCAGCACCTGAATGTCTTTCTTGTAGTGAGGGGCCCAAAACTGAACACAATACTCGAAGTGCGGCCTCACCAGTGACGAGTACAGGGGCCCGATCCCCTCCCTGCTCCTGATGGCCACACTATTCCTGATACAAGCCAGGATGCTGTTGGCCTTCTTGGCCACCTGGGCACACTGCTGGCTCACGTTCAGCCCACTGTCAACCAACACCGCAAGCTCCTTTTCCACCAGGCAGCTTTCCAGCCACTCCTCCCCAAGCCTGTAGCATTGAATGGGGTTGTTGTGACCCAAGGACAGGACCTGGCATTTGGCCTTGTTGAAACTTGTATAGTTGGCCTCAGCCCATCGATCCAGTCTGTCCAGATTCCTCTGCAGAGCCTTCCTACCCTTGAGAAGATCAACACTCCCGCCCAACCTGGTGTCATCTGCAAACTTAATGAGGGAGCACTCAGTCCCCTCATCCAGACCATTGATAAAGATGTTAAATAAGACCAGACCCAAAACTGAGCCCTGGGGGACACCACTTGTGACCAGCCGCCAGCTGGATTTAACTCCATTCACCACCACGTTATTATTTCAGGTCTATAAGTTTATGATTTTATACATATCCATGAAATTACACTTCTTTCAGGCAAGTCAGACATCCAACAGGAGACATTTTGTAACAGGTTTAATTAGAAAATACCTAACTTAGAAAAGCAACATCTTAGAATCACAGAGTAATTCAGGTTGGAAACGACTATTGGAGGTCATCTAGTCCAACCTGTTCAAAGCAGTATGACTGGTGAAATGAGACCAGGTTGCCGGTCTTTCAAGACAATCTGGTCTTGGAAAACCTCTAAGGATGGAGATGCAAAACCTCTCCGGGCAGATTGTTCTAATACTTGACTCTATAGTGAGTTAAAAGTTGTTCTTTATACCCACTTAGAACTTCACTTGTTTTTAATTACGTCCATTGCCTCTCATCCTCCTTCTACGGGCCTGGATCCATTTTCGTGCTAATCTTTTCATCGGTATCGAAAGGCTGTATTAGGTTTCCCCTAAAGCCATCTCTTCTCCAGGCTACATTAGGCCAGCTCCTTCAGCCTTTCCTCACAGAGCAAGTGTTTCAGCCCCTGGATCATCTCTGTGGCCCTCCATTGGACTCACTCCAATTTATCAACACCCTTCTTTTACTGGAGGTCCCAAAACCGGATGCAGTTTTCTAGATGCAGTCTTATGAGCACTAAGTAAAAGGGAATGAGCACTTTCCTTGATCTACTGGCTAAACTTCTATTAGTACAGTCCATGACACTGTTAGCCCTCTTCGTTGCAAGGGCACACTGCTGGTTCAACCCCCTGTCTACCAAGGCCTCCAGGCCTTTTCCAGCAAGGCAGCTTTCCAACCAGTCAACACCCAGCCTGTACCTACTGCAAGGGGTTATTCCTTCACTGATGTAGGACCCTGAGTTTGTCTTTGCAGAGCTTCGTAAGGTTCCTACTGGCTCATCCGTCCAGCCTGTCTAGGTCTGTCTGAATTGTAGCTCTGCCCTCCAGCATACATTAATTAATCTCCCCCAGTTTGACTTCAACTGCCAATTTGATGAGAGTACACTCCATCCTCCTCCAGCTCATTGATAAATATGGAAAGAGCACAACTCATTTACTGGAGTGGGTTCCAAGAAACTGCCCAATACCAGCCACAGCAGCTGGAACAGAAAGCACATTTGAAGCAAAGCTCTGTCTTCAGCTGAATGACATCTGGAAAGGTTTATTTCTTTCAGAGAACCCTCTCCTTTTGTTAATGTCTAGGGAGCATATGAACAACCAATCAGTCACTACCCTCAGAGCCAAACTATGCAACCAATATTTTACTGTTCAGTTGTCCACCCATCCAGACTGTAAAGTCCGAAGTTGGATACCAGATTTGAGGGGGAGGCTAGGGTGGGGGGAAGAAGCTCTTGCTGCTGCATCTCTGAACATGATAGGATAATCATTCATTTGCGTAAGTCTGATTTCTCTAAGTACAGTTCCATAAATTTGGTCTGGGGAGGTCCCCACCGACTGCAGAAGGGGCAACATCACCCCCATTTTTAAAAAGGGGAAAAAAGGAAGACCCGGGGAACTATAGGCCAGTCAGCCTCACCTCTGTGCCCGGCAAGATGATGGAGCAGATCCTCCTCGAAACCATGCTAAGGCACATGGATAACAAGGAGGTGATTTGGGACAGCCAACATGGATTCACCAAGGGCAAATCGTGCCTGACCAACTTGGTATCCTTCTATGATGGGGTTACAGTGTTGGTGGACAAAGGACGGGCAACTGACATCGTCTACCTGGAGTTGTGCAAGGCATTCGACACTGTCCCACATGATGTCCTTGTCTCTAAATTGGAAGAACATGGATTTGACAGATGGACTACTCGTGGGATAAGGAACTGGCTTGATGGACGCACTCAAAGAGTTGCAGTCAATGGCTCGATGTCCAGGTGGAGACCAGTGACGAGTGGTGTGCCTCAGGGGTCGGTACTGGGGCTGATGCTGTTTAATATCTTTGTCGGCAACAGGGACAGTGGGACTGAGTGCACCCTCAGCAAGTTTGCCGACGACACCAAACTGTGTGGTATTGTTGACATGCTGGAGGGAAGGGATGCCATTCAGAGGGACCTTGACAGGCTGGAGAGGTGGGCCTGCGTGAACCGCATGAAGTTCAACAAGCCCAAGTGCAAGGTCCTACATGTGAGTCGGGACAATCCCAAATACAAGTACAGTCTGGGTGGAGAGTGGCTTGAGAGCAGCACTGAGGAGAAGGACTTGGGGGTACTGGTGGATGAGAAGCTCACCTTGACCCAGCAATGTATGCTTGCAGCCCAAAAAGTAAACCGTATCCTGGGCTGCATCAAGAGAATTGTGGCCATCAGGTCGAGGGAGGTGATTCTGCCCCTTTACTTCGCTCTTGTGAGACCCCACCTGGAGTCCTGTGTCCAGCTCTGGAGCCCCCAACATAAGAAGGACACGGATGTGTTGGAGCGGGTCCAGAGGAGGGCCATGAAGATGATCCAAGGGCTGGAGTACCTCTCCTACAAGGACAGGCTCAGAGAGTTGGGGCTGTTCAACCTGGAGAAGAGAAGGCTCTGGGGTGACCTCATAGCAGCCTGCCAGTACCTGAAGGGGGTCTGCAGGAAGGAATGAGAGGGACTTTTCACAAGGGTGTGTAGTGATAGGACAAGGGGGAATGGCTCTAAACTAAAAGAGGGCAGATTTAGATTAGGTATTAGGAAGAAATTCTTCACCACGAGGGTAGTGAAACACTGGAACAGGTTGCCCAGAGAAGCTGTGGATGTCTCCTCCGTGGAACTGTTCAAGGCCAGGATGGACGGAGCTCTGAGCAACCTGGTCTAGTGGAAGATATCCCTGCTCATGGCAGGGCGGCTGGAACCAGATGATCTTTAAGGTCCCTTCCAACCCTTAATATTGTAGGATTCTATTCATTCTATGAAATTTATTTAGTTTCCACAAGTTTAGTTACCTCTAAAATCAGCTCCTGGCCAGCAGGATAGATTTGAAGTGTTCAAGTTCCCTTAAGTGGATCTGAGCTGATTTATACGGATCTCATCTCCACCTTAGTTTTATAGGGCATATAAAGGAAGGTCCCTTTGAATGCAAGCAGCCATAAACCACATTTTACTCACAAATTTAAAGGATGAATCACAAAACAGGAGCAAATGCATGAGAAGCTGCACATCTTGGAAGCCTCCTAACACTCTCTCAGTGGGCTTTCTCTCAACTACATTTTTATAAGTGTACTGATACAATGGAGTACCTAGCTACGAAAGCGACAGAATCACAAACTAGTAAGGGTTAATTCTGACTGTTATTGACATGAATAGCATATGCATGCCTGAGAAGGTAACTCTAGTACAACAGTGGAAATACTACTTACACAAAACACTTTACTATCTTACTAAGAAAAAGGCAATGTTAAGGATGTTGTGCTAAATTTAAAAATCTCCAATTCAGTCTTTGTGTGAAACTAGCCCAGGATCTCAGGCATATAAAATTATCATCGTATTTTTGTCATGTCACAAGTATCAAATCAATTCCAGCAAACTAATTTTCATAAATCAACAAAAAGGGAAATGAGATGTGTAACAATACATTAAATTCTGCTGGAAAAGGTTATGGCTTCCCTGTTTTAACCATCAGAAAGAAAAAAAATAAGGTATATACACTGTTAATAGCAAAAACAGTTTGGGTTATTTTCAGAGGTACCAATTAATTTTTTTCTTCATGCAATACCTCGTACATAAGAGAAAGTAGAAACATACCTGTAATTTAGGGAAAGTAGTTTTAGCTGCAGCCACTTTTCAACCCTATGGATGCACGATCTGCTATCATCAGCAGATCAGTGCTTCTTATAAGAAATATTTGCTGAGACTGCCAGGGATCCCTATGCTAGTGGAAAATTCAGAAATGCTTCATGAACCCCCATGTCTATGTTCGATATATTGATTAAGAACAACTCCATACATCTGAGTTTCTTAATTAAAACACATAAAGAGGACTTATTAATTAGAGTCCTTAATAGAATCTCAATTACTAAAAGCAAGCTGAACTGATAAAAAAGAATTTTTATTCTGAATATTTTGAATATCGGAGAGGTAGCAGGGCTCTGACGTTTGCTGGTGCTTTAGTAAATAAAAAAAAGATGCAGATGCATTTGTTTCAAGATGCCTAAGAACTCGGTTCCTTAGTGACCGTAAAAAGGATATTTCCCTTTAGAAGACTCTGGGAGTATTAGAATAGTCACCTGACCAGCTTGGTTTTAAGTCTGTCACGAAACCTTTTTTTTTTAAGGTATGCAATTAACCATTTTCATGCACAGCATAAAGTACTGATAATTGGCTCAAATTAAGTTAATGCCTGGGAGAAAGTAACATTGTTGTAAAGATAATTTCTAAAATTTATTCTAGATTTCTGATTCCTCCCCTCCCCCCATTTTGGTAGAAGGTCTCATATGCTTATTCCTTTGTCCTTCACATGCTATCAACCCTGTTCAACTTTCGCTTTATGCAAATGGAAATAGACAGATGGACACAAGTAACAATCCAAATGCAAATATACCAAGACTAAGAACTGATGAGAGCTTTGCCACGAATTTAACAGGCTGAGCATTTATCTCAGTGTATAGTACTCACAAATCTGCATCCGCGTCATTAGTCCCCTTGAGTAATAATTTACTTCACAGGTAGCTACCAGAAAACTAATAGAATTAATTATGCAGTAAGAGACTCATTAGAAAGTGAAGAAGTGAAGAAAACCTTCCCCTGGATAGCTTGTTTTCATTTAAAGTTTAATCTGATATGATAGCCAAACTAAATATCTTGAGACTTAAGTGCCTGTTAAGCCTCTTGCTAAAAAAATTCCAGTTGTTTGAAAGCAACAAGTACAGTATTACTGAACAGTATTTTACGTACAACAAGAATTTTAAGCATGTATATCTACAGCCTTCTAAAAATGTCAATCTAACACACTAACAATTTTATGAAATTAACAATATGCATTCTTCCCTGGATCTGTCTGCATCAATCCACTTCTGACCATAAACTCATGATCACAATTCAACATGCTAGCAGTATTCTCTGTGTATGCATTACAGACAGTATGCACAGGAAAAAAGCTGTACTCAGTACAGTCAGACTCTGTATTTAGGTCTCTGTTGCACATCACATTTTCTGAGAAAACATTGTAGCTTAAATTAATAACCACCTCTTACCAACAGAAGTCAATGAACTTGTTGGATTCCTAGTGGCACGATTAGAATGTCTCCTATGAGGACTACGAGGCCTAGAGAGACAGATGAACAAACAAAAATTATGGGAGTTTTTTTATTATTATTACCAAGATAATATGCACAAGACTGGAAGGTAGATTTATTCTGAAAGATACATGTAATATGCTAAACCTGTCAAAAGAAGATAAGAAGCATTTTAAGCAGTTCATAAAACTACAAAATGCTAAGTGTAAAAAATTAATAAAATACTCTCAAAATCTATTAGTAAAAACTGCAAAGTATTTTTATGACCATAAGCCTTTCTTGGAAGTTTTCTGCCCTCACAAATAAGCCTTATTATACAAACTGTCATGCACTGCCAGTCCATCTTTTGCCAAAAACCTTCCTTCTTCTTTAAAATGCACTTTAGTAATCTAAGGACCATGCAGATAGATTGTTTTTAAGAACAGCATAGTTTGTGGCTGCATTTTCCTTTCAATAGACAAAACAATTACAACAGATCGGAAATCTTATTGCTTCTTTGTCTATTTTTCAGCATCACACGAAGAATATCGTAATAAGACGGTAATGTAGCTAGTTCTTTCATTTAAGAAGGGAACAGACAACACAGGCTCTCACTTGTGAGAGTCAACACTGATGGCTAAGCTTACCTTGAGGAGCTTACATCTTTAGTATTTAAAAAACAGTATTAGTATTAAAAAAAAATTTTTTTAAGTCTTACAAGGATTAATTTCCTAACTCTACATGAGTCTACAAAATTCTTACGGGTTCAGTGGAAATATTCATATGATTAAAGGCAGTACTACTGGTGTACATATATAATTAGCAGACCAGAACTAGGGATTTACCTACTGAACTGAAAAATTTTCCAGGGGTGCAATACTTCAGGAAACACAAAAATGCTCAGTTGTTCTTTTTTTGGTCTCAGTTGCTCATTGACAGGGTCTAAGTAAAGGTTAAAATCTGGACAGAAGGACAGTATGGCGCATTGCCATGCACAGAACATGAGGAATCCAACTGTCAGTCATCCCTGTAGTAGGTGTAGGATTGCAGCGCACACACAAACACACACCACTATATGTCTATGAAAGCATTTCACCAAGCAATTTTATCCTCACCAGGCCATATTTTATTTGCTAGCGAAAGGATGGAATTCAAAAGTTACAGCTTTTAGTCCAAATTATGCAAAATTTCAATTTACATTTTTGTTTTAGTTTCAAATTATGCTATTCCGAAAGATAAGAAAGTACAGGCAAATTTAAAGTATAGTGAGTCAGGTTGGCAGGCTTAGTATTACATGAAACTCTACTTTTTTAGTATCAATTACATTCCTATGCCCCTCCCCCTCCCCTGCATCCAAAAAATCACCATCAAAATGCAAAGACATATGATCAAATTACAAATACAGCAATAATATTTTAATACAATATATATTTCAAAAATACAGCTCCTGGAATTACTGTACAATTTGTGCATAGATTGGTAATGTATTATATAGTACCTGTTAACCAGATTTTTATCAATTTCTACATCTGGAGTAACAGCATTCTCTGGAAGAACAATAGAAGGTGTACTGCATGTTGTCCCTTCCACAGTAGTGTCCTGAATGGTTTATGACAAATACAAATATGTAGTTAAAGAGAAATTCAAAACACTGAATATTGACAGTCTATGTGGAAAATAATGTGCATTGAACTAATGAGAAAGCTTTAAAATGGTAGACAAACTGATTTTTCACACAGCAAACCATTCCTCTACTGAAGTTTGTGTACAACACTTAGTGAACTTATGAGCTGAATGCAAGAGTGAACAGCAGCCATGTATAACTGGCCTAAACGAGGCACACAAAAACTCCAAACAGTACTAGTGTTCAATGAAAGCTTGAATAAATGCAGTATTAAGCATATGCATGCTATCCAAAACACCAGAAAATAATTATAAGGTTATCTTATTAGTGTTCTACTTGGTTTTCCCTCCCACTAATCGGAAAAGTATTTCTTAAAAATATAACTGGAGTATTTAATAAAATACAATATAATTTTTAAGCGACAAAAGAAACCGGCACTGAACATCAATTTCTGCTTGCCTTAAAAAAAATGAGAATTTGTCCTGAGAACTTAATCCCACACCTTCTACCACATTGATGCCAATCAGCTGAAGAGAAGGAATCTTTTTCCTGTGAGCTATCCCAAATGGAGATGCATCAAGTTGGAATAAAAAACTGTGGATTTCTCATATGTAGTTAAAAAAAAAAAAAAAAGATCACTTCTACCCCATGTACTACATTCAGATTCACAAACACACATC